CCCAAGGATAGCGAACATGGGACCCAATATTGCAATAATGCCACTGCCATGCCTTAACAGCTTAACTAATGCTAACTTTATCATAGGACTATTACTATGGAGAAAGCTTACCTCGTAACTATAGAATGTCTAAAGTCTCCCCACTTTTCATAGCGAATATCATACAGCAGGAAATTGGTTTAATTATTTGTTAAATGTTTTAAATTCACTGAAACATAACAAATGTCACGCCATTTTATAAAGTAGTGCAAGCGCCATCTCTAGGTTCATATAGGAACTAAAGATGCATTTTTCAGCCAAAACTTTTTCACCCTCCCCAAAGCTCAAAATGTGGATATACGGCAATAATGCGCATTTTTACAGTCATATAAAAACACATATATACGCGCACTCCTTCCCGTTCTCTACTATTTCCTTCCTCCTCCCATCTAACTCCCTTCCCCTCAGTATTTCCCTCCCCCTCTCGCGGATAGTATCGACCACGGCATCAGTTGCACGGTGAAAAGTTAGCCGGGTAAATGGCTGGTTTTCAGCCTCAACTTTTTCACCCCCCCCCCAAAGCACAAAATATGATTATACGGCTATAATACGCGTTTTTATAGTCACACAAACATACATACACATTCACTAATGGACGCGCACACGCGGGCGTGGTCGCACGCACGCGTGGGCGTGTATTATAGGCGTAAATTCACATTTTGTGCCTCGAGGAGTGAAAAAGTTTCGGCTGAAATACTGTCATTTTGCTGCAAACGTTTTTCCATGCTTGACTGGTCGTGGGCGATACCATCCGCGAGAGGGGAGTAAGGAAGTGAGGAAGAGGAAGAAACGGATAGTGGCTAGTATATCAGGAGTAGATAATAGGGATAATTAGTAGATAATTCCCTATTATCTACTCCTGTAGTATATATATATCGCGCTCAAGAAAGAAGGAAAGAGGTAGCGAGTGAGCGAGAAGGCGAGAGAAGTAACTAGAGAAAAGATTAGAGATAAAAGAAAGAGGGAGAGGAATTGTCGCCTGAGCACCTGAACAAGATCGTAAGACATTTACTGGTGAATATTTTCCACATTCTGAGTAAAAAGAGAGTTTATTGAACATTAATGAAAATTAAAATGTACATTTGACACGTCGTTGCTAATAATATTAAATTGGTGTGGTTGTATCCGCTCCACACTGGAGTCGCTATAGACACACACGTGTGGCCGTATACACTGCCTATATATAAATATAGCTATATCAATGCTGCCCGTAGACTATATTCACATAGACTGTCTTTAATTACAAGCATTGAACAACGAACAAGTCCGTTAATTGTCCGCGCGATAAATGCATTAACTTACGTCATTATCGGTTCGTTTTACTTCTAATTATGCGCATTTCGAGTTATCACCGTTAAAAACATCGAACACAAAAACACAGACAAGATGGTGGGATGATTCAGTTCACGTGTCTACTGAATGCGAGAGATCTCGCGAGATAGAAGCCCGTCACATCGTGGCGCCTCTAGCAGATCACTATATCTCCCCTGAGACCGACTGGCACATTACTGCCATAGTTGCCTAGTTTCCACGTTGCGCATGTATTCTTGGAACTTTTACTCCTAGCGCTCACTCATAATATATACATAAAGGTGCACATACAATTAACATTACAATTAACGTATATAATAATGTACATAAAAGCTGTTACCAAGATAGTTTATATCCACTAGATCGACATTATATATAATGAGTAATTAATTCTATCCGCTTGATTGTGTGAAAAGACGCGGTTAAATTCGTTATAAAATAACAATGCGAGACGCACAGCAAATCGACTAGCACAACAGCGACATAAACAAGAGGCACTTGATAAGAAAGGCAAACACATGATCACAGATTCCACAGCTAAGAACGTTAGAGTGGTCATGAGTTCTCATCCACATAACGCTTCTACACAGAAACGACGGACGTGGTGACGGACTAGACTGTAACAGTGCCAGCTGTTCTATTATTTTGGTTATATGGGTACATAATTGTGTAATACATGTATATAATTAATTATCAAACGTTTTGGCAAGTAACGCTTCCATGGCAAAGAAGTTCTAGGAAATTGATAAGAAAATGTTTAAAAAATTCGCGAAGGAACAGCGGCCGGAACAACAAGAGGTGCGCTGGAAAGCAAGAGAGAGAAAGCAATCCTCTACCTTTCTCTCCCTCCCTCCCCCTCTCTCTCTCTCACTCTCACTCTCCCTCCCTCGGCGCGTGGTGCGCGCACGCTCTTTCTCCTCACCCCTCTCTTGCTCTCTTTCTCTCTCTCTCTCTCTTCTCTGTCTTTTTTCGCGGCTCTCTCTTGCTACTTGGCACGGTCCTCCCCTCGGCCCTCTCTCGCTTTCTCCATATCATATATATAGCGTATATAAATCACTCTAGTCTCTCTTTCGCCTCCCTTCTCTTTTCCCTTCTCCTCCCCTCCTCTCCTCCTCCTCCGGCGTCCTCATCAGCTCCGCCTTGAGGCGCGCCTTGCGTCGCTGTGGCGTGATCGCTGATCGCCTTCAGCGACGACGCCGCCGTCGTCTTGCGAACCCTCGGCTCTCTCTGCCGTCGCGCTCCTCGCTGACGACCGCGCGCCGCCGCCCCGCCGCACGCTCTTCGGCAACGGACCGGTGGCGCCACGCGCCGCCGCCGCCGCCGCACGTCGCTGTCAGCAGCGGCGACGACGACCGCCTGGCTTGCGGTGGCGCCATCCCGTCGCCGTCGACGGCCGTGCTGACATATACGCGAGCAGCCGCCGCGTCCGCCGCCGGTGGCGCCCTCCTGTTGTCGCTGAGAGCGCATTTCGGCGAGGCAGGCTGCCGATCGCCGACGGCCGGCGGGCCGCGAGGGGGCGCCAGTGCCCGCGAATGCGGCGGGCGCCGTCGATGATGAGCCTCGCTTCTTGATGTGCCGGCGGGTCGTGTCGACGCCAGGAGAGGACGGCGCTGTGGGGAGCCTCGTGCTCTGTGTGTGTGCGCGCGTGCAAAGAAATGAAACACACGATATGTACACGTGCACGGACTATGCAGCGATCTACATGCCTGTCCGTCTGTCTATCTATCTGACTACTGTCTCGTCTGGTCTGATCTGTCTGTCGTGTCTGTCTGTCGTCTGTCTGTCTGTCTATCTATCTATCTTAACTAACTATCTAACTATCTATCTAACTAACTTCTAATCTACTACTCTATACTATCTATCTATTAGAACTATCTCATCATCTAACTATCTATCTATCTAACTATTATGTATATATCTATATATATATAGGTATATATAATTATATATATATAATATCCATCTATCAATCTATCTATCCCTCTCTTCTCTATCCTCTCTCCCCTCTCTCTCTCCATCCCTCTTCCTCCCCTCTCTCACCTGGTGACGCTGAGGTCGGTTCAACGTTGTCAGAGTTCACAAGCTAGTACGGGCACGGTTCTATTGAGCACGTGCGCCTCTCTAATCCTGCCCCCTTCTCCCCTCCTCTTCCTCCCCTCCTCTCTCCTCCCTCTCTTTCTCTCCCTCTCTCACCTGGTTGCCGTGAGTGTCGTCACGTTGCAGAGTTCACAGCTAGGTAGCGCGGGCACGGTCTCATGACGCCCTCACCTCTCTATCCCTCCCCGTCTCTCACTCCCTTCTATATCCTCCCCCTCTCCCCTCTCTCCTCTCCCATCTCTCTCCCTCCCTCTCTCTCTCTCTCCTCTCTCATTCCTGGTGACGCGAGGTCGTCAACGTTGCAGAGTTCACGACTAGGTACGGGGCCACGGTTCTATGAGCACCTCACCTCTCTCATCCTCCGCTATTGCATCCTCCCTCCTCTATCCCCCCCTCTTCCCTCTCCTCCTCTCCCCCTCCCCTTCTCTCTCTCTCGTCCTCTCTCGACCTGGTGACAGCGAGTGTCGTCAACGTTGCAGAGTTCACCAGCTAGGATACGGGGGCAATCGGTCTATGAGCACGCTCACCTTCTATTCCCTCCCCTCATCTCCTCTCCTTCCTCTATCCCTCCGCCCCTTCTCTCCTCTCTTCTCTCCTCCTCTCTCCTCCCCTCTCGTCTCTCTCCCTCTCTCACTCTGGTGATGCGAGTCGTCAACGCTTGCGCAGAGTTCAGCAGCTAGGTACGGGGCCACGGTTGCTATGAGCACTTCACAGAGAGCGTGAAGACGAAGCCTCGAAGGCAGCGTAGTCGAACGCAAGCAGTGCGCCCTCTCCAGGCCGATATAACTAAGCAGAAGCGACGCAGCGATCGGGCATTTATTATTATTACTTATTATTATTATTATTATTAAATCTTTATTGCATGTAATTCAAATACAAATACATGTACTGAAGACAGTCTTTTTCATGGAGAACAAAATTGGATGAATGCAATATACTTATATTGTACTTAATATATATACTTAGTAAATATACTTAGTATATAGAGATCAGTGGGCATGAGGCTACACTTGTATACGCATGTGGGGTTCCTTCAGCCTCAGCTGCTCATCTTACCGTTGGGGTTAGAATACTGAAGAGGTCCATGGACCACATGTTAAGAACCCCTGAACTAGAGTAACTATATACTAACTAGAGTAAGCCTACACATTGATATGCTTGTTATCATGTTAGCATGATATTACGCATTATGTGGGAGCGGATTTCCTCATGCTCAGCTGCTCAGCTTAGGCCACAATAAAAAATATTGTTTGTTTGCCCTCACCCGACCGACCCGCCAAAAAGGGGCCAACTCAAATTTTTTTATTGATCTTCGTCTTTTTTTTAAACAAATTGTATCACTGTACATTATATAAATCTGTAGACAATACATTATATGTACCAAGCAAAACAAACATTCAACATAAAAGGTATCTCCACACAAGCACACCCGAGCATGTAGACACCATGCTGAATTTGTAAAAAGACCCCCTCAAAAAAAGCCTACCTACCTACCCAAACTTTTCGACCTGGGTCGGGTGAGGGCAAACAAAGATTTTTTTAATTGTGGTCTTACCGTTGGGGTGTATGAGGATGACGGTGGGCACGCCCACCACGTCGTAGGCGTCCGTGGGTCGCACATAATCCTGGCCTGGACCTGCACAGAGCAACGAAGCAAATATCACATGAAGTCGACATGTTGCATCAGGAGGGGGGGGGCATGAATAAATTATGGATAAGGAGATCTAAGGATAAATATGAATATCTAAATATATAAGGATATATCTTCTGATGAGATGATGAGAGGTAATTACATTCGCCGAGATGGTTTCACTGGCAAGCTATAAGGACAGGAGATAGGACAGGAGATAGCACAGGAGATAAGACAGGAGATAAGACAGGAGATAGGACAGGAGATAGGACAGGAGATAAGACAGGAGATAAGACAGGAGATAAGACAGGAGATAGGACAGGAGATAGGACAGAGACGAGACAGGAGATAAGACAGGAGACAGGGTAAGAGAACCAGTGAAAGGAAGTACCGAAACATGTACTAGTATGATTCCGGAGGTTTCCAAACCTGCGAGATGCAATACTAGCTTACTGTGCAGTACGTCCATCAGTGTGGACGTGGTTGGTGTCCTGCTAGCAGGGCCTGCGCACCGTACCTGCTGAGACAAATGCCTCCCTGTGCTCAGGCTGTCGGTTTTCTCCGCGTAGCGCAAGCCACTGAAGGCGAGTACTGCGGAGGCTAAAGAAGAAGGGAGGTTACGGCCACCACCGCGCACATAGAGAAATACAGCTCAGGCACATCGGCTCTTCGCGAGCAATCTGGCTTGGAAGTCGTGTTTTCCCCGCAGCACTATGAGCAATACAGCTCAGCCATGTCTGCCGAGGCTATATGTGCTTGGAAGTTTTGTGTTTGCACGCGGCGCACACTAGAAGCATACAGTCTCAGCTGGCCCGTAAAAATATCAAAATGTTGATGTGTGACAATGCGGACTCAGTCGAGTCGTTTGGCGCAGTAAAATGCCCCCCCCCCCCCCGCACACTGTGGAGACCGACCAGTACCTACGGTACTCTGCTACATGCGTTCGAGTGTCTAGAGAAGCGTAAGTTTATTCTCTCATATATTTGTTGGAATAACAATGTTTGTTTGAAATGCACGTTTGGATTTTAAATTTTTGCGAGCATTTACACGTGTATGTCAACAAATGTATGCCAACACGTGTATGCCGTGTTTATTTAGGTTTAGTTTAATTCTTCTTCTTCTCGGGTCACTACACTACACTCGACCTAGCCACTGCAGCACACAGGACCTGGCACGATGTCTTCTTCTTCTTCTTCTTCTTCTTCTTCTTCTTCTTCTTCTCGGGTCACTACACTACACTCGACCTAGCCACTGCAGCACACAGGACCTGGCACGGTGGTTGAAAGCCTCGAGGTCTCCAGGTCTACAGGGCTCTGCATGGTAATAGGGGGGCATTCCAGATGTAGTGTAATGTAGTTTAATTATTTAATTATCCCATTAATTATTTATGGACCTAGATGTAGTTTAATTTACAACCGTAGAGGTTTAGTATTCTCCAGCCTATACCTTCTCCTTTATTGCTTATCGGTGGATCTTTGATTCGAGGGCTAGACCCACACTACTGCATTACTAATATAATTGTATTAATTCAAATGTAATAGTTACATATAACACATGTAACACTATCCTGCTTTGTATCTGCGCGCATGCTCAGCCTGTGGGGCGTGGTAGGGGGCGTGGAAGGTGGGCGCGGGAGGGGCGCGTGCTCAGCCTGTGTGAGAGGCGCGCGGGGGTAGCGGGGCAGGTGGGGGAGTCCGTCCCTATACCCTACCTTGGTGCTGTACTTCCTCGCCATGCGGGTCACGTGTTCGAGCAGCTTCAGCGCCGCGCTACACCAGGGCGTCCAGAAGACGAGCACGGTCGCCTTGTGCGCGTCGCCGCCCCCGGCCAGCAGCGGCGCCAGGCGGCCGGTGTCGACGCTCAGGGCGTGGCAGAGCGGCGGCGCAGCCGCCCGCTGCAGCAGGCCTGGGGAGAGCGGCGGTGAGCGTGTCTCCCTCAGCAGTGTGTCCTGGTAGGCACAGCAGCCGTTGTCCGGCCACCTGATGACGTTGTGAGTAAACATTTTATAGATAGTCGGCTTAATTTTTCGGCATGTTTAGACGTTAACTAGCCTTTTACTATGTTTGTGTTTTTTTTAAATTTTAATTATTATATATTTTTTTAGGTTTTCACACAGATGTATTGCCCCCTCTAGCCTGTCTGTCTGTCACTTACTTGGCGCCTTGTCTGTGCACGCCGTGGAAGCAGAAGAAGGAGAATGGCTGGAAGGGTTTCGTCAGCAGCTCTATGCAGCTCGACTCGGAGCTTTCTGCCACCTGGGGGCGCTCCACGACAGCAGTCATGCTGATGCGATGACTCACCTGATCCAGGTCCAGCTGGGTGTGTGTAGCAGATGATATTTTTTACCGAAACTCGTAAGAAATAAATTGAGAATTTCATCTTCCCATCATCTATCATTCTCATCATCCCTTCTCATCTACTACCCATCCTCAACCTATTTAACCTATCACCCTACCCTACACTACCCTACCCTACCCTAATCCTAACCCTAACCCCACAGTGTGTTAGCCAGAGACCCGTCTACCTGTCTTTTGGACGGCCTATTCTTGGATGAGACGGACGAAATTTGATAGAGACGGCATGAGGGCGGCCCAATTTTACCCCTGCATGAAAATAAAATCATATCAGATTCCTGTCTTTTTGGCATTTCAGACTAAATTTCCTCCATTTT